AAAAAATATCTAGGAATAAACTTAACTAAAGGCATTAAAGATCTCTACAATGAAATTTTTAAATCTTTGAAGAGACAGAGCAAGACACCAGATGGAAGGGCCTCCCATGCTCATGGACTGAAAGATTTAATATTGTGAAAATGACCATCGTACTGAAATGGGGAGAAAGGGGGTCCCTTAGAGGGTTCTTAGTCTCATTCATAAAAGAATTTAAGAATGGACCCAAATGGAAGCTTTTACAATTTTTTTAGAATTTTAAAGAAAAAAAAATCTCAGGGCAAGCTGGTAATCTTGGCAGGTGCCTTGAGGGGGTGAATCATGGGAAGAAGTAAAGAAGGCCATGAAGCCCTGCAGGTTTAGAGCCTGTGTGGGAGGTCAGACATGTGGCTGACCTGGAAGCCACATGGCTGGGAGAAGAAAGCTTTAGAGAAAAAGTAAAGAAATACAACATGCTAAGGCAGCCCAAAGCCTTAAAGAAAGCATGTTTAGAAAGAAATCTATGAAGAAGAAAAGGAGAAATTAATCTTTTCCAAAGAATTCAAAAAGCAGGAAGTCTTACAGAGACCTATATGACTGTAACTAGTCCAGGAGTTCTGCAGAGTTCTGCACTAAAAGGTGGGATTCCAGCCAGGAAAAATTTGCTACCTCATTAATGCACCAGGTATTCCACCAATCTGTTTAGGATAACAAGGTGAGCCTACCTTCCTAGGGGTGGTTCTATCACCAGGTGATTGATCAGTGAGACTGGAGAGGTGGGTCTTCCAACAGATAGACTAGGGATTTTATGGTCTTGACCAGTTAAATTTATGGGGCTTTTTTGCTACTCTAACACTACCAAAAGCAATCTATAAATTCAATGCAAACCCGATCAAAATCTCCAGGACATTCTTCACATAATTAGAAAAAAATCTAAAATTCATATAGAATCATATGAATAGCCAAAGCAATTCTGAGCACAAAGAGCAATGCCGGGGGGGGGGTTATTATACCAGATCTCAAACTATATTACAGAGCTAGAGTCATAAAAGCAGCATGGTAGTAGCATAAAAAGAGACACAGATAATGGAAGAAAATAGAATACCCCAATATGAGTGCACACAGTTTCAAGTACCTGATATTTGACAAAGGTGCCAAGAGCACACTGGAGGAAAGACAGCAGTTTCAAAAAATGGTGCTGGGGAAACTGGATCTCCATGTGTATAAGAATGAAAATAGGCCCTTATCTATCTCCCTGCACAAAAGTCAACTCCAATGGATCAAAGACCTCAGTTGAGACTTGAGACTCTGAAACTGTTAGAAGAAAATATAGGCAGTACCCTACAAGATATAGGTGTAGGAAAAGACTTTCTAAATCAGATATCAGTTACTTGGGAATTAAGGTCAACAGTCAACAAGTGGGACCTCATTAAACTAAAAAGCTTCTGCACAGCAAAAGAAACAACCAAGGAAGTGAAGAGAAAACCCACAGAGTGGGAGAAAATTTTCACCAGTGACACAGCTGACAGAGGTTTAATATCCAGAATATATAAAGAATGCAAAAAACAATCAGGAAAGCAAATGACCCAATTAAAAGGTGGGCTATGAATCTGAACAAAGAGTTCTCAAAAGAAGAAATAAAAATGGCTAAGAAACACCCTAAAAGTGTTCAACATCGTTAGTAATTAGGGAAATGCACATTAAAACCCTTTAAGATTTCATCTTACCCCAGTCAGACTGGCTAAAATCAAAAGAACAAATGATCCCAAATGCTGGAGAGGGTGTAGGAAAAGGAGATTGCTCATCCACTGCTAGAGGGAATGCAAACTTGTGCAACAAGGAAGGAAATTAGTATAGAAAACTCTTAAACTAAAAATGATCCTACCATACGATATGGTTATACCACTCCTTGGCATATACCCAAAGGACTCATCCTACTGCAGAGACGTTTGTTGCTGCTCTTTTTACAATAGCTAAGAAATGGAAGTAACCTAAATGTACCTCAACTAGTGAGTAGATAATGAAAATGTGGTGTTTTTTTGTTTTTTGTTTTTTTTTACTCTTTTTGAGACAGGGTCTCCCTGTAGCCCCAGCTTGCCTGGAACTCACTGTAGACCAGGCTGGCCTTGAACTCACAGAGATCTACCTGCCTCTGCCTCCTGAGTGCTGGGATTAAAGGCATGCACCACTAAGCCTGGCTTAAAAAATACAATGGAGTTCTACTCTGTCATAAAGAAAGACAATATCATGAAATTTGCAGGTAAATGGATGCTACTAGAAACTGTTATACTAAGAGAAGTAATACAGGCTTGGAAAAACAAATGATGTATGTTCTCCCTCATTTGTGGATCTTAACACCAAATTCTTACATGTAAGTATTTATCCTGATGTAACTTCAGGAGCCAGGAAAATGGAAAGGAACCAGGGAGGTAAAGGGAAAGAAAGAGCCAGAGAGAGAGAGAGAAGAGAGAGAGAGAGAGAGAGAGAGAGAGAGAGAGAGAGAGAAACAGTAGGAAACAGGTGTTACCAAAGGAAAATGGGTAAAATGGAGGTGTTTAAATGGGAGGGTCAGAGAGGGTTATACTAGAAACCATGGGGATAAAAGAGAAGAAGCCTGAGAGAGGAGGACCATAGGAGATAGGTATTATCAAGGGTGAAATGGAGAAAATAGGAGTACTTTAACTGGGGAAGGAGGTCAGAGAGTTAGTCAGGGAGAGAGAGAAGAGAGATAAATAATGCTTAGTTGGTTTGAAAACCCAGAGGGAAATGTATTAGTTAAAAACCTACTGAAAAAATTACACATACAAAATCCATACATGTGTCAATATATATATATCTGGTTTATATAACAAGAAACAGTGCCAAATAGGAGAAACTTCCCTTCAAGTTGTTGGCCAGGGTAGTCCAAGAGACTCCCAAAACTACACAGGTTATTGCCACAGCCCTTGAGTGCCTACCAGAACTTGAAGACACTATCGCTGAAGACAGATCATACTTTGGACGCAGAACTTAGAGTAATAGAGCTTGAACTGATCTGGAAACCACCTCCCCGAAGGCTAGCTCTCATAGTTTTGGAGGACACATTCTATGCAAGCTGCTAAGGGAGAACATCAATCAATGGTCCAACCCCAGCTTTAAGGCCTAATAATCACAACAATGACTGGCACAGCAAACTACATTGGGGCAGTAGTGGCGCTTTTATCTTGGGGGCAATCAACACCTACCTAACTAGACTTAAAACCCACTCAATGGGAGGGAACTTATGTGTGGTACTGTAAACATAGCCAAACACACATGGCTGGAGAGGTCATAGATCTTAAAGAGATATATGTACCCTAAGGCTCTTACATCCCTAGACAAATGCAATTTCTTACTATACGCTAAATATGGATTCTTATATTTACAGACAAGTATGCTAGTCACCACTCATCAAAGAAGCTTATTTTGCAATAGATAAAGACTATTACAGAGTTCTACAGCTGGTCACGCACAGAGAATAAGTGTCTGTGAAATGCCCAACTCTAAGTGACACATCTAGAATGTAACCTCTACACCTAAGGCTCACAGAACATAGTGGAACAAGGGGTGGAGAGAATACTAATGCATCTCTCAGTTCTCATTAATGAAGCTCCGTCATTCAACAGAGAACAAAGAACACAAAAAGTCACAAATGGCCAAATCATGGAGAATAAGAGTCTAAAGAGTGTGGGTCCTTGGACAGAACACCTATATTAAATTCCACCCAGTCAGAGCTCAGGGACCATCATAGAAGAAGTGGCAGAAAGATTGTAATAGCCAGGGGAGGAAGTGCGTGACCATATGGAAACAGAGTTTTACCGGCTCCTGGGATCTTGCTCATATGAATCTAGAGCAATGGTGTCAGGATGCACAAGACCCATGCAAAGTCAAGCAGATAAAAGCCCAGCATAGAACTAAGGAAATGGGCAGCAGGTCTGAATCTTAGCTGAAGAACTACTGGCAGATGATTACTGCTGGATGAGGAAGACCTAATCTTCTTTAAGGGAGTGACTCTAGACCCCAGTGATGAACTTGCACTTAGGGACGTCTGGGTACACTAACTTGACTTCACAGACCTCAACATAAATTACAGAATGCATGAAATACATATGGTAGGGGGCTATGGGAGGGTGTAGATGGGGGAGGAGATAAAAAGATGATTAAGGTGTTTTGTATGAAATACACGAAAATTCAATAAAAACTATAAAAAATAAAAATTATACATATCTACCATGTACAACATGCAATTTTGAAATATGTAAAGTGGAAGGGTCAAACTGAGCTGTTTATATGCATTATCTTAAAAATTCCTGTGGGGAGACGATCTGGAGCACTTAGAATATATTCTCTTAGCAATTTTAAAGAATATAGTGCTTTGTTAGTAACTGATCACCATGCTATAGAATCTACTTCTCGTCTCTCTGACATTTTGTTGCTTGACCCAACATCTCCCCAATCTCTCATCCCCGCCCCAACAAACCTGTGCTGACTATCAAACGCTACTCTCCACTTGTGAGCTCAATTCTTTTGAGATAGGGCCTCACTGTATAGCTCAGTGTGACCTCAACCCTCTGGCTTATCTTTCTGAAAGTTGAGATGACAGGTATTTGCCAGAGCTTCTGATGAGTTCAACATTTTTATACGCCATATATTAGTGAAATTATAGGGTGTTTCTTTGGGTGTTTGACTTATTTTGTGTAACATAATGCCCTCCAGGTCGATCTTGTTGTCCCAAATGACAAGATCTCCATCTTTTTAAGGTTAAATCATATTTTGTTGACATAAACACCATATTTTCTTTGTCCACCCAAATGTTGATGGATACTTGGGTTGATTCCTTACTGTGACTATTGCAGATCGAAAGATGTCTTGTTTCCTCCAAGAACTACTGGTTCTGTGATTACTGTTTTCCAGGATAGAGTCAGTCATTTTATGACTAACGTCTACCAGTCACCCCTCTTGCACCAGTAACTATTTCTAGATGGTCCATCCACTGGGATACTTACTACGTATGGTTTTTGCCATCTCTTTTTTCTCTCGGATGAGCAGTTTACGCCTCTCCCGGCATTCTTTGTTCAGTTTCTGCTGCTTGGAATTTTCCTCTTGGAGCTGAATGATTCGTTCTTGCAGCCGTCCCAGGGAGTGGTTAGAGAAGACCAAAGTTCCAGAAAGATCATCAGGTACTTCCCCCATAACCATATATTCTATCTACAAAAACAAAACAACACAAATTGAAATCAAAACCAAAATAGATGAAGACCACACTGAAGACAAGGCAGTAGAAAGAATACCTTCTTCAAAAAAAAATTTTTTTAATTTTATGTATATGAGTGTTTAGCCTGCACAGAGGTAAGTGAACCCATGTTATGCAATGTTTACAGAAGCCAGAAGAAGGTGTCAGGTCCCCTGAAACTGGAATTACAGATGGTTGTTAGCTGCCATGTGGGTGCTGGGAACTGAGCTTAGGTTCTCTGCAAGAGCAGCCAGTGCTCTTAACTGCAAAGTCATCTCTCCAGCCCCAAGAATACTTTCTTCTTCCTTTGCTCAGCTCCTGACCTTTGGGATTTTTCTCTTTTTTACCCCAGTGACAGGAACCAGGTAAGCAGAAAGCTGTCATCAGATAATGAGCCAAATTGGGTCTCTCTGAGGACAACAGTTTTCCCACACAGATATTACCTAGTATGTATGGCATAAAGATGGAACTAATATCAAGATGTCATAACAAATGGCTACATGGAGCTCAACCAGTATGATCAGGCCACACAAAATATAAAGAAGCTGATTTCTGGAACCCCCACTAAAGTATAGCTTCTTCTCTTAACCTGACAAAAAAGAACAAAATGAGCCTTTTTCTTCTCATTGACATGTATTTCCACAGCTGCAATTCAAGTAGACAGCAGAAATGAACAGAGCAGGAAAAAAGAAAGTACTTCCCTTTCATCCTACCCTCCCTCATTAAGTGAGGATAAGACTTCCGTAGGTCCCAACTGATTCAAGACAGCATGGGAAGTGATTTGCGCACAAGCCCCAACATCTCAACCTCTAGCTGTTTCATTATGCCATTTCTGCAGATCTGAAATGACTGAACTGGTAAAGCGACCACAGACCACAGGAAAACACACAAGCTTTGATGTCATTCTTTAGCAGCTATCTGAACAGGTAAGAAAAGTTAGGGAGATCATTCCACAGGCATGATTTTCCCAACGGGCAGGCCATGAATCTTTCTCTGAAGAAGTCTAGATTTGATGCTTCTGCTCAGACGGTGTTGGGTGACCAGTGGGTGTTATCACCTGGTGGAGCTTGAGAGGAATCACAACCAGCAGTTCGTTCAGCCGCTGCTGCTTCTCCCGCTGAAAAGCCTCCACAGCTTCTTCGGCGGCATGCAGATTTGTTGCCACAACTTTTATCTGAACAAAGGCAAGTGTGCAATATTGGTATGATGCAAGGAGAGTGTATCTAATGTGGTGAATGTGGGCCCAGTGGGAGAAAGCACAGCATGAGCAGGCGTGCTTCATTGGACTGTGAACGAGCCCTGAGTCCAGGCTGCAGTCCAGGGACATGCACTATGATGCCCATCATCTTTTCAATCCCCCCTATGTCTCCAGAGTTATAGAAGTTTTATAAACAAGAGGTCAAAAAATGTCTCCATAGCTCTTATTTTCTGTATGAAAAGCAGCTCTGAACATGAAATACCTTTGTCAGAATGGTACCAGCCTTTTTTTGGTTAGAATGGCCCCAAAAATTAAAGGAAAAAGTGCTTTAAAGTGTGAAATTGGGGCTGGAGAGATGGCTCAGTGGTTAAGAACACTGGTTGTTCTTGCAGAAGACCTGGGTTCAAATCCCAGCCCCCACATGGCAGCTAACAACTGTCTGTAACTCCAGTTCCAGGGGATCTGACAGCCTCTTCTGTCCTCCACAGGCTTTGCACGACATGGGTGCACTTACCTACATTCAGGCAATACACATATACATAAAAAATAAAAATAATAAATAAAATTTTTAAAAAGCATGAAATTGTAGCATTTACAATTCATATTGTTCATCTCCTAAAAATCACCCAAAAGTGTTCTAGATACTTTTTATTTGCAAGAGGAGCAATCTATCAAAAGTATTTCTTAATATGCATTAAATTGAGTGATATTGTTCTAAAGATTATCTAGGAGAGAAAGTTAACAGAAAATGGAGAAAAGAAATAACGTTCTAGCTTTGTGACCTCCATCCTACAATGCACAGACCCTAGCGGACCAACAGTAATCTGACAGGGAAAGAGAAAATATCATTCCTATTTATATTTATTTTCATCTCATCCCTAGGAATGCTTCAAAATAAATAAAATATATTTGATATTTACCAAATATAATTTATGTCTATAAACATTCATTATGGGGTTATGTGCTGCAATAGCTTTTACTTGCAGAATTATATAATCAAAAAAGTTTGTAGACAAATGACTGACCTAAAGAAAAAGCAATCATCAAAAAAGCAACGGCCCTGCCAGGGCACAAAGCTGTGGTAAGGAGGAAAATTGGCTCATAACATTTGACATGTTTCTTCTCTGAGAAGTCCTAACAATGTCATCACTATGAAATGATAGTGTCCTAGCTGGGAGCATGTTGGGAAAAGGCAGGCAAGCAAACCACCGTACTTTCTTGGAGAATGTATCATATTCCTTTTTGAGGTTATCAACAATTTTCTTTTCTTCAACTAAGGCTTCCTCAATGTCCAGCCTTTTCTCTCGAAGTTGGAGAGCCAGTTCAAAAAGATTTAAGTCACAATCTAGAAAGAAAGTTAAAATAAGAAGGCAGCCCCACTTGAGAGCTAGTGTGGGAGTACTCAGAACATGGAGTTTTGAGGTTCAAAATGAATACCATCTATTCACAGACCCATGCTAGACCCTGTAAGGTAGAAATTACTGTTCTTTAAAAAAAAATCTTTATGTGTGTGTATGTGTGTGTGTCTGTCTGTGTGTGTGTGTGTGTCTGTGTGTGTGTGTTTTCATGTATGTGAGTTTGGGTGTACACATGTCACAGTGTGCATGCAGCAGTCAGAGAACAAGCCTAGTTTCAGTCTTTGCCTCTCACCTTGTTAGAGACAGGGTCCCTTGTTGTTTGCTGATTAGTCCACCAGGCTGGCTGGACTGCAAACTTCTGGAGATTCTCTGGCTTCTGCTACTCTGTGAGTTTATATGTGTTCTAGGGACCCAAACTCAAGTCCTCATGCTTGTGTGGCAAGAACTTTACCCACTGAACCATCTCCCTAGGCCGTTTTTATATATCCCTGTTTCCTTATTTTGTAGGTGAAGACTTTATTTCCAAGAGAGTAGGGCTTTTTTTATTTGAGCTATGTTACAGTAAGAGCCACATTTATACACAGAAGAATAGATTTTAAATGCCTATAATCTTCGCACTAGGGAGGTGGAGATAGGTGGAAGATTGTAAATTCAAGGCCAGATTGAGGCTGAGATACATAGTAAGACATTGTCTAAAAACACCACCACCACAAATGGCTAGGAATGTAGCTCAGTGGCAGGGTACTTGCCTTACGTTGGATCCCCCAAATCACAAAATAGAATACCAAAATAGTATTTATAAGCCCTAGTTTCAACCCCAGATCAACCACTAAACTGGCTGTATGATGTTAAAGCCCTTTAGCCCTGCTGTAAAAGAACAAGCTCCATTATAAGCTTTTTGTGCTCTATTCATTCATCAATATTATAATTTTAATAAGACTCTTGTCTTTTAAAACAATATTTAAACTTTATTTGAAATGAAACTTCTAGATTTTGAGTAAAATTTCATTTTAAACATCTAGAAACTCAAATTACAATCCAAGTAAGATTGGTTTTTCTCTACTGAACTATTCACCTCATTGACTGCAAGTGTGTTGTTCTAGCTGCTCCAGAGCCATTTCACTAATGAAAACAGTAAATACAGATTGCCAATGATTTCCAGGAAACTGGTATGAAGTAGAATTGAAGCAGAAAAATTTGAGTGCGTTTATCAGAAAAAGTGTTGTAGAAAGAACACACACATACAAACACGCACACCCATACATATACACACACATACTGCAATACGGTGTTTCTCTATAAAATTAATTTGCTATATAACTCATAGTAACTGAATTAACAGTTGATTTTTTAAAAAAGTATCCTATTTATTATTTTTATCTTCTGTGTACGAGTATATTGCCTGCATGTATGTAAATGCACCCATGTCATACAATGCCTGTGGAGGTTAGAAGAGGGCATTGGATCCCCTGGAACTGGAGTCAGCTGGTCAGATGGTTGTTAGCTGCCACATGGGTGCTGGGAATTGAACCCGGGTTCTCTGCAGGAGCAAGTAGTACTCTTAACCACTGAACGCTCTCTCCAGACTCAACAGCTGATTTTCTACAGACCAATTTGTCATTAGTAAAAAGCCTAAAGGACCAGATAATAACCCTTCGTGAGAGCCCCTCAAGTGTTACTAGGCTCAACCTCATACATTTTAAACCATACTTTCCTTAAATCGTATTATCAGAAAATTGATAAGTAGAAAAGGACTTTCTCAGCACGGTCAGACCCTGTTCACACTTCACAGAAAACATCGGGTATTAGCCAGCTTACTTGATGGGCAGATAGAATCATCAAACACTTCATCTTCAGATCCAGATGCATCCTCATCACTCTCTAAGCTGGATTCATCTTCACTTGATTCCTCACTCTCCTCATCTTCATCTAAGGAGAGAGAAGGACCTTGTTAGAAAAGGTCCTACACAAACTGATTACAAGGTTTTCCAGGTGATTTTCCTCTTTTGCCGGGGGGGGGGGGGCGGTGGCAGGAGATGAGGCAGGTTCTCACTGCAGCCCCAGCTGACCAGGAACTCACTATGTATACCATATAGGCCTGGATCTCACAGAGATCCACCTGCTTCTGTCACCTGAGTGCTGGGATTAAAGGTATGTGCCAGCAAACACAGTGTCAAGGTGTTTTTTTCAATAAGTGAATCACTAGGAGAAAGGCATAAAGTGGGAAGAGTTTAGATCCATTAAATGCACAGACCACACACTCAGTCCACAGCTCCCTGAGTCCTGTTGTAGCAAGAATTCTGACAATCCAGCTTAGTGAAAACCCCATACCCTTGCCATCCAAGGAAATTCCTCAATTTTCCTTCCACGTATTAGCTTATCACTGTGGCCTGCCTTCCACAAAATTCTGTTAGGACAGTTTTGCAAAGAATTACTCTACTTGCTAGTAATTTTCTTTCTACTGACCGCCCCTTTCCTCATCTGCTACAAATCTCAATTTATCCTTCTATTCAAGATGGAGTTCCATCTTTTTCCTACCTCACTAAATACTGCATTTGTAAAAAGTCCAAGCTCCCAGTCAAACTTGCACCTCTAATACACTCTAGCATCCCCAATACTAAGTGCATTGAGACAGGAGGAAGTGGTGACTGGACTCTCCAGTAATGGACTTTTGTATTTTCATTACCATAGACCTAGCTATAACTAATTCTGCTTATCTTGTTGCCATGACTGTGGATGAACGTTTTCTATAGCTCACCATAACATCTTTGCTTAATGATGGAAGTGGTCATGTCAAATCAAGACGAAATAGTTACATTACAGCTGTTCAACTATCAGAGGATTGTTATCTAGAATATACAAAAACTAAAAAAATTTAACAGAAAACTCCACACAATCCAATAAAAGAAAAATAATATAATCCACTCAAAAGTGGGCAAATGGTCTAAATAGACACTTCTTTCAAAAGAAGAAATACAGGGACTGGAGGGATGACTCAGTCCTCTTGCAGAGGATCTGAGTTCATTTGGTTCCCAGCACCCACATGATGGCTAACAACTGTCTGTAACTCCAGTTCCAGGGAATCAATGCCCTCTTCTTACATATCTTGGCACTATTTACAATAGCCAAGATATGCAATCAGCCTAGATGGCCTTTCAACAGATGAATGGTGTCCTAGTTTCTCCATTGCTGTGACAAAACACTCTGACCAATATTAACTTGGGGAGGAAAGGGTTTATTTGGCTTACATCTCTCGGGTCACAGTTCATCAGGGAGCCCAAGGTAGGAACTCAGGGCAGGAACCTGGAGGCAGGAGCTAGAGTACAAGCCATGGAGGAACGCTGCTTACTGGCTTGCTCCCCTAGCCCCTGCTCAGCCTGCTTTCTTATGCAACACGGGCCCACCTGCCCAGGAGTGGCACCACCCGCAATGGGCTAGGCCCTCCCACCTCACTCAACAATCAAGATGATGCCTCACAGACATGACCACAGGCCAGTCCAATGGAGGCAATTCCCCAATTGAGGCTTCCTCAGCCGAGGTGTATCAAGTTGACACTAAAGCACAATTGACCCTTTGTCAATTTGACATGCAAACACATTACTATTAAACCATAACCTTTCCAATTCTTGTCCCCAAGATATGATGTTAACATTAATATCACAACATAGGACAGTACAACCTTAAAAGCCCCACAGTCCTTAAAAAAATCCAAACACTTTAAAAGTCCATAGTCTCTTCTAAAAGTCTCTTAACTGTGGGCTTCTGTAAAATCCAAAACAAGTACTGTCTTGTTTCAAAGGGAAGAATCAGGTACACCTAAAAAAAACCTAAGTCCCGTGAAATAGCTCAAGGCTGAACATCTGGAATTCACTCATGATCTTCTGGAGTCCAAAGGGTTCTGGCAGCTCCACTTCTCTGACTCTGCCGTCCACAGCACACACAGCTTGTCTTGCAGACCCAGGCCAGCTCCATTCCACACCTATTGCTGTCCTTGGTGGTCATCCCACAGTCCTGGCATCTCAAAAAAGCTGGAGTCTCCACTGAAACTGAGGCTGCACCCTCACTAATGACCTCTTTTGGCCTCTCGGGGTGCCACACTTCAGATTCTCTCCATGACCCCTTCAATACTGGGGTCTTCACTGCAACTGAGGCTGCACTTTTTCCAAATGGCTTTTCCTAGCCTCTCAGAATTCCAAGCCTCAGCTGCTCTCTGTGACCCCTTCATGCTTTCAACACCAGAACCATGCAGGAGACTCTTACACACTACCAAGTCCTGCTTCCAGCTTGAGATGGAGACTCAGGTTCCCTCTGTGCACTGACCCTGAGGAAATACCTCCCAGAAGACTTCACCACAGTGATGCTGGTCTCTTGTTACTTACAGCTGATTTTTTTAATCCTAGCTTATCAGCATCAATTCTCCCAGTAAAACAAAGGTTTTACTTCAGGTTCTGGTCTCTTCTTAATCACAGCTGATTCTTCAGCCCCAGCCCATCAGAACCCAAAGATACTCAATTCAAAATATCACACAAAGAGCCCTGATAGTCTCCACTTCCCTTTGAAGCTTCACAAGCCAGGCCTCCGTTGTCTACAACTTTTTCAGCATAACTGCTCCAAGCTGCACAGCAACAAACTCTGAGCACGCAATGGCTTTTCTAGTCCAAAGTTCCAAACATGTCCACAATCCTCCAACATCAGGACTGTCACAGCAATGCCCTACTCTCTGGTACCAATCTCCGTTCTGGTTTGATTCTTCATTGCTGTGACAAAACACTCTGACCAACACCAACTTGGGGAAGAAAGGGTTTATTCAGCTTACATCTCCCAGATCACAGTTCATCAGGGAGCCCAAGGTAGAAACTCAGGGCAGGAACCTGGAAGCAGGAACTGGAGCACAGGTCATGGAGGAAAGCCGCTTACTGGCTTGCTCCCCTGGTCCCTACTCAGCCTGCTTTCTTATGCAACACAGGCCCACCTGCCCAGGGGTGGCACCATCTACTGTGGGCTGGGCCCTCCCACATCATTCAATAATCAAGAAGATACCCCATGGACATGGCCACAGGCATATGCACATGTGGAAATAGCATAATGAATCACAATAATTTGAACAATTAACATGTTAATTATAATAAAAAATTAACTAAGACCATGATGTATTGCACTACACACTGTAGTCAAATGATGAGGAAATATAATGAACTTTATACACATAACTTTTGCTAGACAAAACAGAGCAATGGCTTAGGAAAATCTTACTAGCTACCATAACTCATTCAATATGAAACAGATAATTTGAATATCGCTATAAGGACTGTGAAATTTTTATTCATAGTTTAACCTACTGCCACTAAATCTTTGGTTCCAAATGGTTTTGCAGCAGAACTCCACTATCTGTTGAAAGGGGAATTGCCACCAGTCCTATATACCATCTTCCAGAGACTCAAAGACTTGTTAATTCATAATGTTGAGAGGAGAGGAAGTAGAAATGGGGCAGGGAGTTTAGGGATAGAGGCCTTGATTTGTGTCCTTGGCCAGAAGCTAAAAATGTTCTTGGTTCTTTCCTGGCCATAGGCCAGAGATACCAGGAAAAAAATCTGGTTCCTGGTCTGGTTTCTTATTTTCTCTTTCCCTAACTGAGCACCCTTGCTGGCAGGTCATACACAGGGTGGACTGACCTCCAGTCAGGGACTGCTCTCTTCCGGTGAACAACTTTGGACTCAGATCTCTGGATTTTCTTGGTGGAAATGGGTCATACCTATTCTCTAATTTCAGTCCCTCTATAAATGATACTGGGGTTTCAGCTCTTGAGGTGAAGATCTTGGCAGCCACTGAGGACAGATATCAGGGTTCTGTTGAGGCCCATTAAGGGAAAGTTATTTCTTCCTGGAATATCTCTGGCCATGGGTGGAGACAGAACAGTCTGAACTGCTCCAAAGATTAGAACATTACACACTATTGTCTCTTCTAGGCCTGTCAGTCACCTGGCCAGGAATCCACCCACCCAGGAAAGTTGGTTTATCTAGAGCCATGCTATGGAGATGGGAGAAATAATTATCCCCTTAATGAGGTAACACACTAACCCCAGAAACTGGGCTCCTACCCTGTAGCACTGAGGTCTGCTCAGTGAAAAGCATAACTTTCCCTTTATCTTCTTTCTCTCTCTTTTTCTATCAGACACTGAACAAAGCCTGGGCATGCTTGGACACTCCGGGCTTTCGCACCCTTTCTCTGAAGTCCCCACCCCTCTGCCATGTAGCTTCTTGTTGGCCACATGGCTGTTTGCTGACCACCATTGCTGAGCCTGCCCGCTTTCTCAAATGCATGAATTCCCCTCTTCCTCTTCTCCATCTCCCTCCCCTGACAACTGCTGAGATTTACAATTTTTTTTACCATTGTTTTTCAAACTCAAATGAAATTGTCCTCAAACTTCTTTCTGAGTCTGTTTCTAAATTACTTTGTTGAAAAGACTAAGAACCCAGAAAGGGAACTTTGATTTCCTCAGTAAAAGTATGGAACTGGTATTACCCTAATATTAAAACAAGGCAAAGATGGAGAGAGATGGGAGGGAGGGAAAAGGGAGAGGAGGGGAAGAGGGGAGTGGAGGGGAGGGGAGGAGAGGAGAAAGAGGAACAAGTGAAGGGAGGGAAGGAGAGGAAGGAAAAGACTATTGCCTAATGAATGGCCTTTGTGAGTATTATATCAGCACATTTTCTACTCCTATAATAAAATATCAGAAGCAGAACAATGTATAAAGAAAATAGTTATATTTAACTCAAAGTTTTGAAAACTAAAAGTCCAACATCAGGCAACACCATGTATTGGGGTTTTGGTGAAGGTCTCATAGCAGATCATGTCATGGTGGAAGCACTTAGCAGAGGGGTCAAATGACACAGGAAGCAAGGGAGACCCTAAGAAGGAGGCTGTCTTGTTCTTTCATAAGAATTCACATAATCCTTTTCCTAGGAAGGAACTGGAATTCCTTGAGAATTATTAATCCTCTCCAAAGGCAGCTCCCCTACTGACCTAACCATCTTGCATTGAAACCTAACATCTAATCTGTGAACCTTGAGGGACACATTGAAACCATAAACTACAGCAAGTACAGAAAAAACTTTTAAACAGTTTATCAAATAAAAATCTGCAATATACAAAAATAATTTTACGCTCTAACAATGATGGGTATATTTCAGGGAAGAAGTCTAGTCCAATAATAACAATCAGCCAGTGAAATCTACTATATTAGTAATCCAAAGAAAAAAGTCACATGATTATCAATTGCTGCAGAAAAATATCTGATAAAATTCAACGTTCACTCACGATAAAACTCACTTAAAAGTAGGAAACCCCCCCAAAATGTGGGAACCCCTCAATCTGACAAACCGCACCTATGAAACCCCTGTCGGTAACAATATACTTAGTGGCAAAAGACTAAATACTTCCCTGTGAGACTGAAAACAAAAATCAAGAGTGGCAGTGTTCAACACTCTGTGCCAATGTAGTACTGGACATTTTAGCCATGTAAAGGGGAAAAAAAAAAGGTACAGGAGGGTTGGAGAGATGGCTCAGTAGTTAGGAGCATTGGCTGCTCTTCTTGCAGAGGACCTGGGTTCGGTTCCCAGCATCCATATGGTGGTTAGCAACTGTCCATAACTCCAGTTCCAGGAGATCTGACGCCCTCTTCTGTCCTCTGCAGGGATTGCATGACATGGGTGCACCTACATACATGCAGGCAATACACCCATACACATAAAATAAAAATAATAATAAAAATAAAGAAATAAGTATATAGACGAGAAGTAAAGCTACTTATATTTGCAGCTGAAATTATTTCTACTCAGAAATTCTCAAACCTCTTAGAACTAATCAATAAGGTCAGAGGACATGATACAAACAGGTAAATAAAACCAGCAGCATTTCTACATACTAATAATAAGCATGAAGACACTGAGATTAAAAGTACAGTTCCGGGCTGGGTGTGGTGGTGCACACCTTTAATCCCAGCACTTGGGAGGCAGAGGGAAGCAGATTATCCTCCACAGGTAGTGTCAAAATGGCCTTCTTATAGCCGCTCTTGATTTTAAATTTTAAAAATTATTATTATTATGGGATCTGAAGAGATGGCTCAGCAGTTAAGAGCACAGACTGTTCTTGCAGAGGACCCAGGTTTGATTCCCAGCACCCGTATGGCGGCTATCACCCATCCTTAGCTCCAGTTCCAGGGGAATCTGAAGCCCTCTTCTGACCTCCACGGCATTGCACGACACCAGTGCATTCGCATATGTGCAGGCAATACACTCATACACATAAAATAAAAAATAAAATAAAGAAATAAAATAAATATAAAAGTACAGTTCCATTTCAAATCATTCAAAAAATGGAACCACATTAAGTATAACTCTAACAAACCATGAGCATGAATTGTATGCTGAAACACAGCATGCTGCCTAACAGGTGAAAGAATGAGAGTTGTGTAGAGACATAACTGAGTTCATACACTGGAAGACACAAATCTATGACTGCCAGGTCTCCACAAATTGATACACAGGTTTAACACAACTGCTATGAAAATCCCAACAAGTTTATTTCAAGATTATTCTAAAATCTGAAAAAATTATAGCCCTAGAACAGCTAAAATAACTTGAAAAAAGATGACCACAGTGGGAAGAATGATTCTACCTGATTTCAGGGCTCATATGTGGTCACAATACTGACCTTACAGGGAACAAAATAGAAAACCTAGAAACACACCCATATAAATGTGCCCAAACCATGCCAAAACTTAGAAACAATTCGAAGTAGATAACCTATTCAACAAACGATGCTACAGTCAGACAAATTTAGACAGGAAGAAAATATCTGTGAACCATGTATTTAGACAAAGGGCTAGTCTCTAGAATACATAGAACTCTCAACACTCAATACCAAGAAAACAAACAATCTTACTCAAACACACACAAAAGATGAGAAGAGGCATTTCACCAAAGACAGAAGACGAACAAACATGAAAAATGTGCTTGTGCTTCTTAAACTACTCTGCGAACTCATACCAAACACACACACACACACACACACACACACACACACAAACACGCACGCACGCACGCGCGCACACACACACAGACACTCAGGTTCCAGTGGTGTTCATGCACCCTAAAGGTTTATAGCCCTTCCTCTTTAATCCTACTGAGCTTAGACACTCCCTGGGTTGTAATGGGGAGGGGGAAAGGCATTGAATAGAAACCATAGTTACTTCTCTTTATAATGTTAATAAGAGAAAATGGAATAATATGTAAAAAATGGAATACAAACCAGCACCCCCTTCAACTTCCTTTTTCTTTACCCGCTTAATTTTCTTCTTTAGGATCTTCATGAGAAAGTTTGCAAATTTATTATTTTCTCCAAGGGCTGCTTGGAACCCAGCATAGAGTGCTTTTTCCTGTTCCTGGAGCTTGGCAATTTCATTCTTTTTCTCTTCCATCTCTTTAAGAGTTTCATTTGTTTTCCACTAAAGGAAGGAAGGAAAGAACACATGATATAAAATGTTTCTGATAAGCTAGGTTCATAAGACAATATACTTTCCAATGCAAAATTAGAGTTTACAGACTTTTTAAAACTTAATAGAAATTTATATTTTTATTATGTAGAGTCATCTATTTGACTATAGACTTTACATTTCTTTTTTAAAAAACATCATTCAAGTTCAAAAATCTTTGTAGTTTTCTCCAAA